ACACGGCAAGGCACGTTTTCCTTCTTCCCCTCCGGAGGCTCTCTCCTCTACTTTCACTTCCTCCCCCAGCTTTTCCCTGTTTGCCGTTTTCCCTTCTGTCCTATCTTCCTTAGTATCTGGCTTGTTCTTGACAGGTCATAAATTTCCACTTGGAACCAGTCTTTGAGCGTAGGAATAGGGTGCTTGCTTAACAGGAAACACCAAGACAGTTTCTAATTTTGACAGCTATGGCACAAACCTTTATTCTCCAGGAGCTCAAAATATGGCACCACCAAGAGCAAGATTCTGAATGCGATGTGCTTAGAATTGCAGGAAAACAGTATAGGATCGACAAATGTATATTATTGTGGGATTCAAATGTTTAAAAACCCGTGCTTCCTAGGGAGTCCTAGCAGTGGGTAACCCTTCGCTCTGGCTCAGCCACATACGAGCTGGGTGACCTTGAGTAAATCTCCATAAAAACAGTCATTTTGCACTAGGTGACTTAAAAGGCCCTTCAAAATCTAGCATAATGGTAGCTAGCATTCATGTCCCATTTTAGAGTTTACAAAATGATTTTTTTTTATATTCTATTTCATCAATCCCCTAAACAAATGCAAGAGACAGGTGTCAAAAACTGACCAACCAATCCATGCTTCATTCTCTGGGGGCCGTCTCCAGAAAGGAATCACTACACTAAGCAACGTGAACTGGGCTTCAACAGAGGGAGAGCTGATGCCCGTCGAAACCCGTCAAAATCTGGTTGGGGCTAGACCAGTGCGGCTTGAGCTCTGTCCATTGACAGAGCTGCGAAAGCATGTTGTGTCTTGAGGAGTGCCGTTCTTTCCCCGTGTTCACGAGTCAGCTTCTGTGCTTGTGCTGGGAGGGGGCCCTGCTGCAGGCTCGCCCCTGAGGAGATGCTGACCCATCGGATTGCCCATGCCTGTACGCCTTCCCCGAAAGACTCTGCGCCCTTCACCCGTGTGTCCTTCAGTGCCCAGCCCAGTCACCGCTGTTAATTGATTGAATGAATGAACGAACAGATGAATCTGAATGCAGATGAAGGAACTCCAGCACTTCTGAATAACCAGCATTTTTATCACATGGTTTTCTTCCATATGGATTTATAGCTGGCTCTTTTTTCTTTTGAGTATACAACTTTCCTGTCAACCATTCATTGTGATTACGTACTGTATTTCAGACCCCCTGTTGAAGAGCGGACAGCTAGTTCTGTCTTCTTTCTTTCTTCTACACCATGTCACCTTGGTACTTATATTCACCTGCTGGGGTTACTCTAACAAAACACCGTAGTCCGGGCGGCGTCAACAACAGAAATTTGTCTCGCGGTTTTAGAGGCTGGAAGTCCAAGATCAAGGTGTCGGCCCAGTCGGTTTCTCCGGAGGCCTCTCCCCTTGGCTCGCAGATGGCTCCCTTCTCCCTGTATCTTCACGTGGTCTTCCCTGTGTGTGCTTGTGTCCTGATGACCTCTTCTTACAACGACTCCAGTCAGATTAGCGCCCCACTCTCATGACCCCATTTAACCTTAATCACCTTTTTAAACACCCTATCTCCAAACACAATTTACATCAGGGGTTAGCACTCCAACATACGAATTTCGGGGAGAGGGGGGCACCATTCAGTCCATAACACTACTCATTTGACACTTTGCATAGTGCTGGTGAAATCTTATGTCCTGTGTGACCTCCCAGGTGTGCATGCGTCTCATTTCCTCCACAAAATCTTTTAATTGCATGGACCAGCTGTAATCATTCTTTATGTGACAGCCGCTTAGCTCAAGGCTGAACCAGCCCTGTCTCGTACTTCCTTATTGCATGCTCTTTCCAATACGTCGGTGATTTTCAGCTTCTACGAAGGAAATGAATCCCTTCCTTAAAAACAAAAAACAAAACAAAACAAAACTTACATGGTGCTTTTGTTTTAACGTGCCATAATTTATTTGTACTTATTATCAAGTCAGTTCATAAGAACAGTGGTGATTCCATGAAGAGAAAAATTTGAAAGCTGGGGTTATGACAGGTTTATAGCAGTCTCATCCAATTTATTTCTGTACTTTTTTTTTTTTTTACCTTTTATTTTGCAATAATTATAGAATCATTGACAATTGCAAAAGAAGTTCAGAGAAGTCTCTTGTACCTATCACGTTGCTTTCTCCCATGGTTGCATCTTATGTAACCATAGTGTATTTCCAAAACTGGGAAATTGATTGGCACAGTACAATGAGCTAGACTACAGATCCTACTCAGGTTTCACCGGTTTTTGCAGGAACTTGTTTCGGGGTATGTTTTTACATATGGCTCCATGCCATTTTGTTACGTATGTAGATTCATCCAACCACCAAGACAGTCAGGATCAGAACTGGTCCATCACCTCCAAGCAGCTCCCTTGGGCTGCTCCTGTAAATCTCCTTCTCCCTCCCTCTTTCCCTACCTCCTTCCCTCCCTTTCCTTAATCCCTGGCTACCGTGTATCTGTATTCCAACTCTATAATTTTGTCATTCCAGCGTCAATTTATTTTTGTATTTGTTTTGATTCCACAGAATGGAAAAACAATCTGAATCATATAGATATGTGGTTGCCAGTGCTAAGAGATTTTGAACAGCTATCTTCGGATCTCAGGGTCAGGCTTTGGCAGGAGGGGCCGTGCCCTCGGTTTTGCAGAAAATGGGATACTGTGGCACCTCGAGAAACTAGAAGCTTGGGGATTGCCGGTGTTTTAGAATTTGGCACATAATAGTGTTTTCTGTTTGCTTTCTTGGTTTGATTCAGGTATAAACTTACATACAGCAAAGGGTACAAATTTTGGTGGATTTTTAATTTATGCCTGTGCTTTTTTTTTTTTAGTTTATCTTATATTTATTGAAATAGTTTTAAAGCAGCGTTTTGAATTCTCTTTTAACCTATTTTTCAAACGGTGGTAAATGTATATAACATAAAATTTATACATAAAATCTTAACCATTTTTAAGTATGTAGTTCAGTGGCATTAGGCACATCCACACTGTTGTACAATCATATGCCTGTATTCTCAAAACCACTACTCAGATTAAGGTATGGAATGTCATCAGCCCCCTCAGAGGTTCCCTCATGCCCCCTCCCAGCCACTCTCCCCACAAAGGTAACTTGCTGTTGTAAACGTTTTAACCACTGTCCTAAAAAGTAGCTTAGAATAGATTTCATTTTTATTTTTATTTATTTATTTTTAAAGATTTTATTTATTCATTTGACAGAGACACAGCGAGAGCAGGAACACAAGCAGGGGGCGTGGTAGAGGGAGAAGCAGGCTTCCCGCCGAGCAGGGAGCCCGATGCGGGGCTCGATCCCGGGACCCTGGGATCACGACCTGAGCCGAAGGCAGACGCTTAACGACTGAGACACCCAGGCACCCCTAT